GGTCAGGAGATGACTGACAGTGATTAAGAGAGGGTCAGGAGATGGTTAACACAGTGACTACCAGAGGGTCAGGAGATGACTGACTCGGTGATTACCACCACAGTTGACTGTAGTGGTCTGAATCATCAGGATGTCCTAGTTTCGAGGGCACTCAGTGACAGCCTGTCCACAGGGTAGCTTTGGTCACCCGCCTGTTCGGGCATCACACTTACTGTCCAGGCTATGTGGTTCACAGTCGCCATGTGTCTCTGGGGGAGAAGGACCAGCATTCTGCTCCCATGCCGTCCACAGAGTGCCCACCTGACGAAGGGGCATCCACGGTCACTCCCACGTTGACAGCCATGAGGCTGATGTATCTGAGCTCACGGGACTCAGGCTGCTAATCCCATGGCAGCACCTTCCTGGTTGTTTGAACTTGAACCTCCCAGCGACTCTGTGGGAAGGAGGGGAATCTCCGTGCAGTTTACTCAGAACTGAAACACCCATCACTGCCAAGTTGAACTTGACTCTGGCTGACCCTCCAGTGCGTTCTGAGAGGCTGTGAACCACCCAAGAGAAGACTGCCCTGTGACAGCCCCTGAAACCCTGCTGGAGGGTGAGCCTGAGACAGTGAACTGAGGTGGTGTGAGGGTCTGACTTTCCACCCTGAGTGGCCATCTGGTATTGTGTTATTTTCTTGTTGTTCTTGGCCATGGCGTGGGAACCGACACATAGTCGACTCTCCAGCAGACTTCCAGTCAACAGGAGATGACCCGTCTTACTCCATCGAGCTGCCGGTTGATTCGAACCTGTGCCTTCGGGCTGACAGCCCAGCTCTGTACCACTAAGCCAGCGTTACTCAGATGGATTGCTTCTTGCTCAGATCACGGCAGCCTGGGGGGCCTGGGCGTTCTGTCAGTGGCTGTGTGTCCCTCAGGTCACTGCAGCCTGGCCCTGGGAGCTCTGTCAGGTCCTGTGTCCCTCAGGTCACTGCAGCCTGGCCCTGGGCATTCTGTCAGGTCCTGTGTCCCTCAGGTCACTGCAGCCTGGCCCTGGGAG